ACTGCGCGACCTTGAGCACACCGCGCATGCTTGCTAGTGGTGCCGTTATCCGTGACGATTCAGACAAACTGTGAGCTTGTGGCGAGACGTTGACAGCTCCGCCACAATGCGCATTCAATGGCCTGATGCAGAACATGCGAAGCGCTGATGGCTTTCTTAGTATCGCCCTGCCCTTGATGAGTAGTTTCAGAGTCTCTGTAACAGCCATGATGTGCTCGGACCGAAGTTTTAGCTCTAGCGCGCCGTTTCACTCGAAGATCGCCGAAACAGGACACAGGAATGACACTTTCGAAAAGGCCATATATGGTCGATGCGATGCGATGCGAGGTCTTCGTAGGCTACTTAGGGCGACCAGGCTTTCCATCTTGTCGCCGGTCGACCTCGGGAGGATACTATGGGAGTGCCAGTCCTGATGCGAATCGCGACGCACGATTGAACAACGCCCAGGTATCAGACGGTGGCCTGGAAGAAGCGCGAACAGTATATGATGGGCAGGCGTTGCTTTCACACAGCTGCTCACTCCGGACTGGCTGGTCTTGATCGCTCGTGAGGGGGCATGTTACTTCAGACGAGCGCAGCGGGACCACCGGAAGCTTCTGAAAGTTGCGAGAAGGTATTCCCAATGTCGCGACGGTCTCCAGAGCGAAGAGCAGGGCATGAGAGCGACTCCCCAGGTTTGTTGACGGGTTGCTGGGTGGGAAGGTAAGGAGATGGAGGAACTTCCGAACCCTGCGCAAGCTACGGAACCTTGAGGCAGGGGCAAATTTCCACGATCGTTAGCGAGCCGCCGCCGGATATCGATTTGGGTACGTGGAGATCACGCCAAGAGCTAAAGCTGTCGGATACGAATTAGTACCATTGCTTCTGTTGAAGCTAAAGCAGACTTCACGATTGAGTGTGAGTTAGCTGCACCCTTCACGGAGTCGCACCCTAAATGAATGCGCGCAGCCCATGCTAGTGCCGCCAGTGCAGTTGTTAGACGTTGTCTACTGAAAGGCGTCAATTGCAAGGGACGACTGGATGTCTTTTGCTGTCGACTGAGAGGTCTTTGTTCTTTGCGGGTATTGTTTTGATGTTCGGCTTCGACGAGAATTGCTGCCAGGTACCAAGACGATGTGCCAAGGCGGCGCTAGTGCCTCCCGCGCCAGGGGCATTGCGGGTCTCGCTCGCACGCGAGCTTCAATCCTCACATCCCCCACGAGCCTGCAGCGCACGCGGCATCCCACGTGCATGTTCTGGACTGCGAGGCTCTGCAAGATGCAGGGCTAGATCGAAAATTTACGGGCGCCCCTCAACGTCGGAAGCAGAAGTGGTATGTTTCTCGATGTGTGGCTTGAGAACGACCAAAACTACGCGAGGTTGGGACTGAACGAGTCAAGTGGCTCGTCAGGACTTACCTTCTTGTGGTACTCGAGCAGCCTATTTCGATATGTGGCACGATTTTGCTCGATTCACTCAGCTACGCCTCGAGAAAGCCATGATATTTGTATGCTTCAGCTGCGGCGACTCCGTCCTGCATGGCGTAAATCTGTTTGGATCGTAGTCAGGACGAACTCTTGCAAGGACTCATCATGGACATATAAAGATTCATAAAGGCACAGGAAGTATAGCCAGCAGCAACAGCAGCCTCTTCACTCATTCACCCACCCGCTCAGTCACTCTTTACGCTCGAGCAACCCACTATCTTTAATAATGAAATATTCATACGTTTTCTCTGCCGTTGCGGCCTTCGCCGTGGTCGGAGCTCAAGACATCGACTTCGCTGGAGTTGATGCTACGCCTGGTATGATCTCTTCGATGAAAGACTGGTATCGTGCTAACTAGAAAAAGACCCAGTCATCAACATCATTCCCGGCTTGAAGGAACAAGCAGTTCCTTTCGAAGTAACTGAGGCTATTGCGGATGTCGTCTCCGAGGTCGTCGCTGATCCTCTCGATGTCAAGCCTGTGTCTGAGCCTTCGGCCGTACCGGAGATCAAGAAGCATCTGAGGCGTGGAGCCTGCGACCCTGAGCCCAGCAACCCCAACACTTACGGCTTCGATCTGTCGTCTGCTAGCAAGTTCCGCGCCGACTCCAAAATTGCCTCTGTAGCGAAGGGTGCTTCCACCCCTTCTGGATATTTCAACACCTTCACCAACTTGCAGGGTGCTAGCAGTGCCTACGGATACCTTGGCTACAAGGTAGTCGAGACCTACGACCCCTCTCACTGCGCATCTGAGTGTAACTCCAAGGATGGATGTCTCGGCTTCAACATCTATGTTGAGCGCGACCCTTCGGCAAACCCAGGACCTGAATGCCGAGACCCCGAAGCTGTTGCCAACATCAAGTGCTCATTCTGGGGCGGACCAGTCTACACCGACACTGCCAACAACAACGGACAGTGGCGAGAACAGTTTGAAGTCGCCATCGCTGGAAGCAACGGCTACTCGTCTCTAACAACACAGTCTGCTGAGGGCTACAAGCAGGTCGAGCTCAAGAACAGTGCAACCAACTCGCCTCTTGACTGCAACAAGCAAGGCTCCTACATGGGCTACAAGCTCTTCGTCCAGCCCGCATTCGATGCCAAGCTCTGTGCAGCTGCCTGTCAAGAGCAGAACAAGTGGGCGACTGAACACTCACCTGCCGATGGCAAGCCGCAGTTGTGCCGCTACTTCAACACCTACATTCTGCTCAAGAACGGTGTCTCGCAGGGTCAATACTGCTCCATGTACACTCAGGAGTGGGATGCTTCCTTCGCGACGAACGATGGCCAATACCGCGGTGACGATCACTACACCATTCAGTACAGCTTTGGCTTCACTGATGAGAGCGATAATGGCGTACCTGTCTGCCCCAGCGACATCTCTTACCTCAAGTCAAGCGGCGATGAGTTCTGCAGCAGCTACATTGGCTACACTCAGCCGACTGCGACTGCAACCGCTACCGCTACTATTACACCAGCACCCCAGACCGCTACAATCACAAGGACAGTGACAAGCACCTCCACCTCTGGAATTGCGATCGTCACGGCAGCCAAGTTCAACGGAAGACACGCCAGACGCGCGGATAACAGCACCGAAGTGACCAACGACGTCGTTGTCGACCCTTACGAGATCGCAATCGTAGCCGTCAAGACTCTCTCGCACGAGGACGACCCAAGCATCCCAAAGCTCAACGATACCATGGCAGCAGAGCTCAACAGGGCCGTTGAGAAGCGTGACCTCGTAACACCGGCTTCTATCGCAGCTTGGCCCACCAGCAAGATCTCAGCAGCTTGCTCTCAGGTCGCCACCGGCACCGTCACGACCACTCAAACCATTACTAATACTGCCGCGACCTCATTTGCGACCGAGACAAAGGACTTCCAGACCGTCGTTGTCGTCCAAAGCACCTGCAACGTTCCCGCACCCAGACCAACAGCCCCTTCTTACACTAGGATCGCTGGTGGCGACCCATCAGAGGGCGTGCCCATGGTACCCGGCCCCGCAGACCGCCCCTACTTCAACGAATACTTCACCCTCAACCTGCCTTTCGCTGTCAAGATCTTCCAAACCTCATCCACGCAGATCGGCATCACTACCGGGGGTGTCATCACAGTGGGAGATTACGTGTTCAATGCTTTCGCGGAGCAATTCTACATCTACGGAGGCTGGAGACACGGTATGTTCTACCGTGTTGATGGCGATATTGGCGCTCGCAAGATCCACTTCTCCTGGTTTGCGGGTACTATTATGTGGGGTCATGAGCGCTTCCACGTTACGGCCATGTTCGACGAGGCTAAGCCTGGTGTTCTCACCACTAAGGTCTTCGACACTGTAGGCCAAATTGATAACAGACGCACCATCTCTGTTGAGGGTGCCGGCAAGAACGTCGTCTTCGCTCAGTGGGGATCCACCAACGTCCACGAAGGCCAGGAAATTACTTTCGATACTACCGGTGCTGGAAGTGTCTCTGCCAAGGACTTCGATCGCATCGACTGCTGTACGAAGACAGGCTGGGAGTGGCATGTATGCTCTGAGGTCTAACCAACTTACCTCAAACGTTGACAGCTCCTTCGAGCTTCATCTTCCCTTTTCAACATCCTATCACACACTGAAACACAGTATCTCATACATAATCTAGCAATCTAATGTAATGTAATCACATTTCGAGCGTTTCTGCACTACATTCGTCATCGTGAATCTCCCAACTTGCGCCCTCAAAGCGAATGCCATCTCACATTATCTTCAGCATCTCGGTCTCAAACTTCTCCCCCTCGCCATCCATAACTCCATGCAGATACGAATCACCGATGAGAACGTACCCCTCACCACGTCTTCTCAACGCATACGGAACTCTGCACCCTGCGAAGAAACCAACACTATCCCCTACCCTGGCTGCAACCGGCACCAACCCAATCAACCCCTGTTCGGTGATGGCAAACTGTCGCCCCCACATCCATGCCATATGGCAAGTCTGAAAGTCTCTTTGCTTGATATGCAGATGGTCTTGGAAAGAAGCCCATGCCTTATTCCAAGCATTGTTGCACAAAAGAGCAAAGAGAGGAACAGCGAGCGGTAAAGCGTATCGCAAGAACCAGTTCCTGCCCCGGTAGTAGTATGCCACGGCTGGAGACGACGCTGTAGCGACGCCAAGGATCCAGCGTTGTATCTTGGCAAACACGGGGCTCATTTCTAGATGGACTAGATTGATGAGAAACGCACGATAGCTGCTTCCATCAGTGGGAGGCTTGAGTGCGTTGACGCATGTGCGATTGCAGCATAGGGTTCGCCAGAACGCATCGTGGAGGGACTCGCCAGTAGGTTGATAGATGCTGTCAGCATTACTGACGTCTATTTGTTGCGTATTCAGTGTTACTTCCACGCGCCGAAGCCAGTCCTGATAAGCAGATATGTTTTGCAGGTCGTAGGCTCCGACTGGTTGTGACCCGCCTTCGCGCAAGAACGTTGGAAACGGAGCCATATGAGTGATCATATCGAAAACAGCACCGCGAATATGGAGACACTAGTGAGATGCTTAGTTCAGAGAGAAGCTTGTGTGTAGGTGAAGCTTACCTCTGGCCCATACTCCTCAAGAAAGCGAAGCTCTGGCTTGCGTTCAATGTGCGGCTCTTGAGAGGGATATCCACCCATAATAGGCGTGTACGAGCCCTCGAAGTTCTGCGGCTTGAAAACATCTACCACCCAGCTTGGCTCTGCGATTTCGTCGACCTCTTCACGTGTAATCAATGACAACACATCCAACACATTACCCCAGGTAGGCTTGATCCTGCCTTCTAGGAGCATGAGGTTCAGGTCCCTCATCAGGTCTTCGTAACTTTTGGAGTAGTCCACAAAGCTCTGGTTGATGTCGCTTGTGAGGCCAACAAGCGCAAAAACCTTGTCTCGCCGATCCGTCGCATCGAACCAGCGGGTATTTATGAGAAGCTTCAGGGTACCAATCTCCGCCTTGTCTCGTGCCTTTTTGATCGAGAATAGCACACTCGCGCATAGCAGCTTAAAACTCGCTGACCGGCGCACGTGGACGTCCTCGATGGCCCTTACAGCAGCTAGGGTTTTGTGAACACAGTTTGTCATGTCTGACCATCGCGCGATCGCTTCAAGGACCGGGAAATCTTCATTTGCCGTAGTTGGCCCACACCAGATTGACACCTGGCGTGCGAGCAAAACCTCTTGAATACTGCCGAGATGTCAACATGAACTTGATATCATACGCAGGTTCCAAAAAGCTTATGTGATACGTACATCCACATACGGCTAAACCATGGCCGTAGGAGAAATGCAGCCAATGCGTTAAAATGCTCCTGTGTCACTTTGGATAACGATGCATCCCAGTGGAAGGCGACTTCTTTAGCCGACAGATCTGGAGTGTCTTCGAAGTTTGCGCAACGCGCCTGGACAGCTTTCAGCAAATTCAGCGCTAGCTCGTCTGTCGCTTCTGCGTCTCCCAACCACACGACCACGCATTCTGCTTCAGTGTAAATTTTATCCATCATGCGGACCTGAGACGTTCGTTCTGAGATGTTGGACTGGTTAATGCATATTGCATCAACCCAAAGAGGTGCTTGAGTTCTCCTGCGACGGTACTCGTGTAAGGCGGAATGGAGGTTTGGTGTTACTGAGAGGGCATGCAAGTTGCAAACAATTGAGACGGGGGAATTATTTGCCCCCCAGCAGTATGACAGAGCGTTGTAAGTGGTCGGAGTCGTGTCCAGACATGTTTCTGATAGTTTGCATCGCAGCGGGGCCGATGGGTCGTCTGGTTCCACAGTAAGTAGGCGGATGGTACGTCCTGTGAGTACATTTGGATAGATAAGCGGGTTTGCCATAACCAGATATTGGCAAATGTCGCCCGAAAGAATTACTGTTTAGTAGCATGAGTGAGTGGGAGAACAGAATATAATGCTGACGGGCAGAAGCTGGGCGATATGGCCAGCTGCGCATCGCTCGCTCAGTCATGCAAAACCTGATGCTCTGATGCGAGGTTGCTCCAATGGCAGAACGAGTGGCCAGCTGAGACCCGATTGTGCAGACGCGCGTTGGTGATCATGCCTGTAAGTAAGCCCCTTCGATGGAAGTGGCGAGCTGAGTCCTTAATGAACAGACACGCGTTGGCAACCATGCTGGTAAGCCCCTCGATATACGTAGCCGGGAGCTGCGTTTGTTGTTCTGGTAGAGAAGAGGTGGAGAGCGATGGCAGGAGCTCCTGTCGGATGGCAAAGGGGACCCGGAGCGAGAGATCGACGGCGCTAGTCCGGATATAAGCTAGCACGGCCTTGCCTAGCGCCAGAAAACCAAGATGATGAAGCCCTCATTGCGGCCTCCCTTCCACCAGAATCTTCCAGATGTGTGTACGGCATCTCATCTTGTAACAAATGTGACGAAAATGACAGAAAATCACGGCTTAGAACAAGGAAGCCCATGCACAAAGATCTGAACAGCATCAAACAATGTAGTGGACATGACCAAAGTCACATACTAAAAGAACTTCAGGCTTGAGCGGAAAGCCCTGCGAAGGAATAATATATACCTAGGTATTACGTCGCGACCAGATCGTCAACACCCTCCCCGCGAAGAAAAGAGTGCTTATGACTTCGACTAGAGTCTGATGTCAATTTGAGCTGATCATCGAAATCGTACTTTCGTATGCGGAATGATTGAAATAGTTTTGCTGTGGCTCACTCGCACCAAACCCCCAAAACTCGTATACCATCCGCACCTTGTAGGACAAAACCATTTACACCCGGCTCCATGGTATCACCCGCCACAAAGCTTGCGAACCTCTATATACCTGCCCCATCACAGTAGCTCTTGTATCACGTAGTCAATTCAGCCAAGACGGCTACAGGAATTGGTACCCCGATACGTACCTATCAGCCACAACAATGCCACGATTAGGCACAGCAAGGGGTATACGCACCAAATGCTAGTGATCGTGAGAGATAGGACGGTTTCGTGATCGGAATGAGATGTACCACGCAAACTCAGGGGTTTTGTACAAGGTAGTGGTGACAGGTGTAGGGTACATAAAGCCGTGACTGGGCTGTAGAAGTAGACTTTTCTTTCGTCTTGTTAAACTGCGAAAATACTGATTCTACGATACTACATCTGAACGCACAAAACAACGACTTCAAAAACATCCAACACCAGTCAACACCATGCGTTTCTCAACCCTCATCCTCCCCGCCCTCGCCGGCTTCGCGCTCGCAGCGGAAACGTGAGTAACTTCCCATGCATACACTACCGTCCATCTCATTCGTCAAACCTTACCTCTACATCACCACTAACACCCCAACCCCAGTAACCCCGCCGCCTCCGCATCATCGGCGGTTTCATCAGCCATATCGTCCATCGTATCCTCCATGTCATCCGAGGCCACAAAGACGGAGGCGAAGACTACCGCTACTGAAGCGAAGTCGACTGACGCGACATCAACTGGCGCGGCTGTTGCTATCGGCGCCGGCGAGGCCGGTGGTGTTGTAGTCGCGGCTTTGGGGGTTGTTGCTTTGATGTTGTAGGACAGTCCAGCTACGGTTGAAGAGGATGCAGAGGGAAGTGTGGTGGTGGATGATGTTAGCAGCATGAGTGTACAACAGCGGAAAGACAGAAAATGTGATGAGAAGTTTGAATTAAACAATCATTGATTCATAACCGATGTCTAAGCACCGTGTGCAAATATCTTACAAAACCGTTCCTGTTCCAGTCCATGCATATGCTACCATGTCTGCACTGATGCCTTTGTCTGCCATTACTCCTCCTCACTCATATTGTCCTCCACTTACAAGATAGCAATCCTCCTAACCTGCATCACCTGCGCCCTAGGCACAGTCACCTTGAGCGCACCGTCCTTGAAGCTAGCGCTCACATTAGCGACATCGATGCGTTCAGGAAACCTGAAGGTACGCTCGAAGGAGCCGTGAACGCGTTCTTGTTGTTGGGACTGCTCCTGAGGTTGTTGCTGAGGCTGCTGGACCGGTACCTCGGGCTGTGGCTGGGTTACCACAGCGGTCTCGGTGTTCTTAGGCTCATCGACAACCTTCTCCTTGCCCTTGGGTTCGCGTGGCTGGGTGGGAGATGATGGTCGAGATGACGGGAAGTCAGCGGCGAGGTCTTCGAAGTCGTCTTCGACGGTGGGTTGGTATGACTTGTGCGATGAGGTATCGCTGTCGGGTGTAGCGGCACGAGTGGTAGGAGACTCGGTCTCGGTGGTGGTCTCGACTTCTGGTTCTGACTGTGTCGCGGCAGGCTGCTCAATGCTAGCGGCAGGTGTGGGCTGGGCTTCGATCTGAGGTAGCTGTGGCTGAGCTTGCGACTTCTCCGACTGCCACTGGGTGTTACCAGCAATCTTCAGCGTATGCTCATCGATAACCTCAATGTTGATGTTGTCCTGTTTGAAGCCCTGGATGTCTCCATCCACCTGCCATCCCTGCTCGACCTGATTGACTTGGAAGTCTGCTCGAAGTGCGCGCTTACGCTGCAGCTGTCGCTGGCGGTAAGCTTCGCGTAGTGCCTCTCGGTGGGCCTCGATCTGGGCCTTGCGCTCAGCCTCGCGTTGTGCTTCGCGGTCGATCTCTCTCAGGAGCTCATCGACCTGGCTGAAGAAGTTGTTGTAGGGCGAGTATTGTGGGCGGCGAGGCTGGGGACGAGAGACGCGGTAGCCGTGTGTTGGTCGTGATACCGGGGCGCAGAAGCCGAAGGGGTTGCACTGCTGTGCCTCGTAGGCGGGTGCCATTCGTGGAGTGAGGATGAACGCCATTGCTGGGGTACTTGATTCGAGAATCGAGGCTGGTTGGTCGATGAAGAGAATAGTGTAGTGGTAGTGAAGCTCAAGAGTAGTTGTAGATCGTAGATCTGTAGATGTGTTGGTCTTTCGAATTGATGATGGGCTCTTGGAGAGCAGAAAGACATGGATTTATAGCCATGATGAAGGTGTCGCAGGCAGCAGTCGATTGCGTGCGCGGTGATGAGCAATGCAGATTCCGTAAGACAACGACGATACTGGAAGAGTGTAGACGATGCGCGACGATTGGTGATGCTTCGAGGTTTGTCAGGAAGACGCGTGAAGCTTCGCGATGTTTCTCGAAGCTTCTACGTCATCCAGCGGCTGAGATGGCTCGTGCCCCGCTTATGTAACCACGCCTGCCCTCACCAGCCTTGCACGTGCTTCTACAACGAGAACACCAATACGATGAACGAACGACCCTGCAGATTTCAAGGTTCATCGCAGAGTAGCAAAAAGAATGAGGTAAGCCACGACCCTGCATTGAAGGGTTCGGTGATGTCCCTCATCATGACAGGGCGAGTAGCTCACATTACCAGTCCACTCGGGGCTTGTATCGTTCCAGGTTTCACGATTAGTCCATGTCGTTGTTTCTCAATACTTCAATTGTAGTTTATCCTAGTCTATATTTATAGAAACTGCTTTCAGATTCTCCATCCGCTCATCTAAGCCTTATACCTAGCCGGCATAGCAGCCTTAAGCAGCTTAGGGAAGTTGGGTGTGCCGAGACCAGAAACCGGGTCCCATCCCGCAGTAGCGTTCCAGCTAGCATACGGGATAACCGGGCTACCGTTGGGCTTGCCGTTGAAGCGGGCATGACCATCGCATCCAGTGCTACCACCGAGAACGATGTCGTTAAGCGCATCGGGGTTGGAGTACAGCAGGGGGTTCAAGAAACCAAGAGCGGGCTTCTTGGCTCGCAGGCGGGCGTCGTTGAGAAGAGCGACGATGCCACCGAATGCGGGGGCGGAGCAGGAAGTTCCTTGGTAGCCCTTGAGAGAACCCTTGTCGTAGACGCGGTAGCCAAAGCCCTGAGCGCTGACGTCGGGGAATCCACGTCCGTGGCGGTTGAAGTAGGGCTTGTTCTTCTGGCCGAGCTGGTGGAAGTATGCCTTCACAGCATCGTCCTGGTACGAGGGACGCTTCCAGTAGTCGGAGAAACCACCGGAGGAGAAGAAAGTAGCAGTCTCGTTGAGGTAGCGAGTGGAGCCGACAGAGGTGACGAAGGGGCAGGCAGCGGGGTATCTAGAGAGAAGTCAGTGTTTGTCTCACATACAGTCCTTACAGGCAATTACGTACTGAGGCTGGAACTTGGTCGTGTTCTTGCCATCGTTGGAAAGGCAGGCAGAGCCGGTACCAGAGTCGCCGGAGGAGAAGATAACGGAGACACCACGGCTACCGAGCTGGGCGAAGAGGTTGCAGACGCTGAGAGCGTAAGACTTGGGCACACTCTGCTCGTTCTCGCCGTAGGAGGTAGAGATGACCTGGGGAAGGTCCTTCTGCTTGAGCTTGAGCACGCTCTGGAGGAACTCGAGGTAGGGCTCGTTGGCGCTGTCGGCCTCATCGGGCTGGTCGAGATCAGCGACCCAGGGGCCACGGCCGCCGGTGCTGTACTCGGTGACGGGCAGGGGCTGGGCAAGACCGAGCATGTACTGCAAGTCCAAGTTGGCCTCGCCACTGTCGTCGCTGGAGTTCTGGTCGTTCAGACCACCGTTGAACTGGACGACGGAGAAGTTCTGGCCAACGGCCTCGGGAAGGATGTTCTTCTCGAAGAGGGCGAGGTCGCTGTAGCGAGCGTACTCCTCGAGGTAGGAAGCGAAAGCTGCCTTGCTGCCACTCTTGGGGTCGGGAGTGTAGTCGATCTTGTAGAGCTGCTTCAGGCACTGGGGAGTGATGGAAGCATCACAGTTGACAGTGATGTTGGGGGAAGAAGCGAGCTGGATACCAAAGATCTCACGCTCAGTCTCATGGTTCGCGCGGATGGCAGCGAAGCGAGTAGTCGGCTGAACGAGGTTGATGTGGTCGGCAATCTCGTCAGGGACAGAGTACTCAAGGGTGCGGAGAACCTTGCGGGGTGTGCTCTCCTCGCTAACGAACCAAGAGAACTTGGTTCCGAGGAGCTCGTTGGCAACACCGACGGTGGTCCTGAAGGTCACCCAGTCGGCATCGGTCTCGAACTTCTCGATACCGGCAGACTTGAGCCACGAAGAGACGGAAGAAACAGTCTCCTCGCTGGGCATAAGCATGCGCTTCATCTCCTCGTGCGACTCGTAGTGCTGGCCGTACTTGGGGTTTGAGGGTGTGGAGACGTCCATGACAGTCTGCTCAAAGCCCGCGGTATCGCCTTGCGTGAGCGCAATCTGGAGCTTGAGCGTGTGTGCATCAGATGCTGGGCCTTGAAGCTTCCATCCTGTTGATCGTTAGCACAGATCCAAACTTGTGACAGCATGCGACCAACCCTCTGGAACTTCGAAGAGCTTCTCAAACGGCTCGGCGAAAGCCCTTACAGCCAACAGCGAGCCAACGATGAATGAAAGCACAGGAGCCATCTTTGCCACAACCGGTTTCCTTGAGCGAAGGTAGTCCGAAGCGAATGCGGATGAAGAGACAACGAACAGCGGACTGCATTGTAGTTTTATACCGCACCCACGGTCGACCTCAGTCCCTGCATGATAGTCGTGTTATTACCGACCTACCCCATGGAGTTTAGATTGCGATTGTCGCTCATGTCGTGGTGCGCATACGCGATGCGTTGAATGGAACCGACAGTACCCAAGCAAGGGGCTAAGGAAGACAAGCCTCGGACTGGGGGTCTTGACAAGGCTTGTGTGCCGGATAACCTCCTTCTTGTTTTGGCCGTGGCGTTGCGATAACATGACCGATGACCCCACCTGAGTGGTTGTGACAGGTTGTGACGTGTGGATCTTGTTCTGTGCGCGCTCGTTAGCACCGGGCTAGGGCCGCCCACTTGGGTTGGCGTTATAACCGGACCACTGCCTCGGCCACAGTTCATGCAAGGCACATACGAGCACCTTCCGGTAACAACGTAGTATTGGTCTCTAGAGCATGTCATCTGCATTCGAGATCTCCCTGGATCGTTTGGTAATTGCGAGCAATCTGGGTTTTTATGATCTTCGCCGCCACCAGCATCCTGGAAAGAACCGTAACTGAGATCGTCACAAATATCGGGCGGATAAACACCAGACTAATCTTGCGAACGGCCCGCCTATGAGGACCGAACTCCCTGGGACATACATCAAGACATCCGTCGTAGCCTTCCATTGACTCTATCGTTACTTCTCGAGACTTGCAAGTCGAAAACCTCCAGCAGATTGTACCGATGTGTATGCTGCCGATAAGCCACAAGTGTAAAAGATAGCTTTGTGCCCTAGCTCCGCGAGACGCGTAGCATCCTCGTACCTGATTCTCAGTGTCCTCTACTCATAGCTCAGCTCGGCATTGTTCCAGCAGAGCTCGAAGCCGTTTGCGCGGTACCACTCGATACGAGTGGCTTCGAGTTCGAGTATAGCCTCCACTTGCTCCTGAGAGTAGTCAAGAAGAACCCTGGTGAGTGCTACCACAGTGACCTCAAGGTAGGGATATCCGCTCGAACGTCTTTGCCCACCGATAGTTCGCCTCAGTGTCTCTCGCAATCTATCTGGCATATGTTCATTCGGCTTGGGGTTCATTGTCAGCTTATAATGCAGATATGACAGCTTCTTGTTGATAAGCTCATGTCGCCGATGTTCGATCTCATCTATCGTGAGTTAGAATGCTATATGTGCCTCAGAATTATATCGCTAACTTACCTGACAAAGATTGGGGTATCGGAAGTCCCAAGGTGCGTAGTTTGCTCTCGTTGCAGTATATAGTCACTATCTCAACAAGGAGAGCGAAACAATCTTTGCTCCCGAAGAGATAGAAAACCCAAAGCAGTAGTATCGACTCGCGGCAGTATTCGCCCTTCATTTTGTCACCATATATCTTGTTCATCCAGACCGCAGTGAAGAATTCTACCGCACTGGCGCAGTTGTAATAGTCGACGAGGATTCCAATCTTCGCCATCAGTTCGAGGCTTACGGACTTCGGGATCTGAGGGCTGCGCAGGTGTAGCATGTTCATGAAGAGGAGGAATGCTTCCTCCTCCCAATCGTCTGCTGTGATATGGTAACGACCGTCTGCCTTCTTGCATCCCTCACTCCAGATACCATGTGAAAGCGCGGCTTTGAAGACCGGTGATGCCAGCTTGAGATGGCGTGAGGAGACAAGGTAAAGTATAGATCCCTCGGGAACGCTAGGAATTACCCAATCCGATCTCATCATGCTGAAAATCCTTGCAGGCGGTTGATGGACTTCGATATCGTCCGAAATCGTCATCTTTGTGTCCCACTCTGTCATGCTGAAAGGGAGTTGATCAAGTATGTCAAGGTTGTCGAACGGTGAATCATCCCACCAAGCGAAATATTCACCATCACCCGGTGATCGTAGAATTATTACTGTATCCGCGTCTGGGTCGATCTCATGTATAATTGGAGCCATACTCGGATGTTGTGGGTGATTTAGGGTGAGTGGTTGTGATTCGATGTTAAGTAAGAAGATCCGGTCGTATGAACCTGTAAGCCATTGTACATACGATTAGTGAGGTCGCCTAGTGTTTTTCCTCTTCTTTCGATGAAACAAACATGCACGGACAATTGTAAGTGGTTAGTAACGGGTGAATGGAAAATGTAGTAGTGCTGGGCACCTACTGCCCACCGAGACGCTTCTTCACACATCGAGCAAGCATTGTCGCTTTCATCAATGCCGATCTTGCTCTACGAGTGATCGCGATAACGCAAGGTAGAACGCGCGCCTTCGCAAGATAGAGGTGTAGCATGCTGATCGCGTGGGGAAGGATCACGGCGCGTGAGGAGAGGCGTGAACCGCATAATGAGACAGACGCCACTGAGAGAACTCGCTTCTGTCATCGTATCGTACTGCGCGTAGTATCGCGTAATCAGTCTCAAAAAGCAACGCGATGCTCGAATCAATGAGGCTGGTGTTGGAGGCCGCGCGGTGTTTTGGAGCTTGAAGCACGATGCAACTAACCTTGGAAGTGGGGTCATATCCAGAACAGCACTAGCGTGAAGCGCGGCCCGGATTTCGCCGCTGTGTGAGCAGCCCGGCTTGCTCCTTTCTTCCTTGACAATCCCCATGCTGTTCACATTACCGTGCACGCCATTGCTACGACGAGCTGGGCTACAGCTAGACCAGCGCCTATGGCTCCTATTCTCGTCGCCCCTCGTCCATGCGCCGCCGTGTATCGTCTATTCAGTCTTTGGCCCATTTGATACGTAAGCGCGTCTCGTTCTTTCTCCAGCTCTTCTAACCTGAGCGACATGTAGGTTTGCGAGGTTTGCAGTGTATTTGCCGAAGATAATCCTACACTTGAGGTTTCGTAGCCGCCGTCGGTGGAAGCTGTTTGGGCAACACTTCTAACTTCTTGTTGGATGCGCTCGTGCTCCAACTGCCGCTCGATACGTTGCGCGCTCGCCATAATAGTTCCATCGTCTCGTGCAAGATTCCTATCCCACACCGAACGGATGTCGCTGAGGTCCACTTTTGTACGCTCAATGTCTTCGTCCACGGACCGCATATCTCCGGCCATCTCGGTAATCGCATCCTCGAGCTCGTGCAACTCGTCTCTTCGGGAACAACGAGCCATCTTCGCTAATCTGCAGCGCGCATCGTCTACTTTGGCTTGTAGTGTCTTGAATGCATCTGTCAAATCCTCAAACAAGACTTGACCGGCCCTTGTCTCATGGATGAGCCGATTCTCATCCACCAACTCTCGCTGGAACGCCAACGTTAGCCTTCTGCTTTTTCCCACGATGTGTTGGAGTATTCTTCTTGCATCTATCTCTACAGCTGAAAGTCTGACTAGATTACCACCGTGCTGTATAACATCCTGGATCTTCTCGCGGAGTTCTTCGTGTCGCAGTTCGGCTTTAACGAGCTCGTCTTTGGTAGCTCTATCCCACATGGTAGTTGCCACGACTACTCCACAGAATGCTTCTTCTCCGCACATGCTCTTGAAGGCACTCAGCGCACGCACCGCAGAGCCTTGGAAGCGATTGTCTGTGATGCGATGGAGGTAAACGATTCCGCTGAGTTTGATCTTTCTTTCGTAAGCGGCTGCTAACCAGTATGCCAGTTCCTGCAACGTTTCTCCATCGGGTCGCCGACTATCGTTGAAGCCGGGCGTGTCTATCAGATGCACAGTCTTCCCAAGCACGCTAGTGGTGTGTATCGATACCTGGCTCGTACCTGTTTGTTGTAATCAACGACCGGTTAGACTTCAGGGCCACCGAGAAGCCTACATGATGAGAGTCCATGCCCGGAAAGACGTTCTAAAGAATTGGTACAATGCTCGATGAAGGTGGATTTGCCAGCACCAGTCATACCCATGACTGCGATGAAAAGGTCATCGGGGCTGCCAGGCCCAGTCAGTTCTGCGTCAGTAGAATTAAGATTTACTTACTCAACTGGTTTCGAGCCTTCAAGGTTCACAGTCTCCATTGTGAAAACGATCGGTGACTATACCAAGTCGCAAATCAGTGTGTACAGTTGGCTCTGGATATCATCCTGTGTTCACGTTACGATAGCTTGGTTACTCCGCAGCAGCTCTCGGTGCGGCTAAAGGCAATCCTGCGGCAAGGTTGTACAGCCCACCTTCCCACCGCATGGAAACCACCAATCAGCAACGCACACGTCAAATCTACCGCAATCGCTGTGCTGCAGGCAGTCCTCAAGTACGCCTCTGCGCCTAGTTACGGTCCGTGCGCGATTTCGCCTGCAGGCCGCATAATAGCGCCAGCTAAGGTCAGCATCCCATCTGGAGTGCAGCACTGTAGCCTGCCCTTCTTGGCAGCTTTGTATGCGCTTGCGTCTGCTGTCATCGCATTGCCTCATTGTAACGCGACCTCCTATCACGAAAACCGTATCAGTGTAATGTGCGCAGTATGAGCACTTTCAACATCTCGCCGGCCAGAAGGGGAAGTCACGATGCGCTGGAGCCGATCCGCTCACATGGAAGTTCATCCAACACATCTCCTCCTACAGCTCTTACAGTTACGCGGTTCAACCAGAATGCGCCGTCTTCTCGGTATGAATTGAACGTCCGTACGGTTTCGTTATCTGATCTGTCGCCAGACCGATTGGCATTCTTGTCATGGGCCTCACTGGCGCTGGAAAAAGCACATTCATTGCCCAAGTCACACAGAAGAGCGCAGACATCGGGCATTCGCTAAAGTCATGTATGTTTGTCTTGACTACTCGGAACATCTACCTAATCAGTTTAAGGTACCACTGATGTCGTGTTCCAGACATTGCAGCGAAAGAACGGCCAAACAGTATATCTCATCGACACGCCAGGCTTTGACGACACTCATTTGGAATACGCAGCAGTGTTCCGAAAGATTGCTTCATTCATCTGTACCTACTGCGATGGCTATGGGCGTAGCATTCCAATCGGAGGCATGATCTATGTGCAGCGAATAACAGACATGAGAATGTCGGGATCTTCACTCAAGAGCCTCCGGATTTTTGAGAAGATCTGCGGCGAGCGACACTTTCAGGACGTTGTGATTGTCACAACGATGTGGAACTCGCTGAAGACGAAGGAAGCGCATGATGCCGCAACGATGCGTGAAAAGATGATGGGGGAAAGACCCGAGTTCTTTGGAAATATGATGCGAAATGAAGCTAGAATGGAGCGATACCAAGGCGATACCTATAGCGGCATCCGGATCGTCGAACTATTGGCAGAGAGACGGAGAATAATCACTCTGCAATTGCAGCGCGAGATGGGACGAAACGTAGCAACGAAACTCGAAGACACGACAGCGGGAAGATATATCGACGGTGAACTGGCCAATGCACGCGAGAAGTACGAGACGCAAAAGCGAGAGCTAGAGGAATGTGCAGAGGAGGCTGAAGATGATGAGGACCTAAGAAGCGAGTTCTTCGAGCAAGCTGAAGACTTCACTCGCCTGGTCGACAACATCGTAACTGATCAAAAGAGTCTTTCCGTCACACTCGAAGACATGCGAAATGAGCAGGTGGCATCGTGTAGCATAGGTCGCAACGATCAGGCGGAGGATACCTTGCATGAGAACAACTCCGCGCGCATCTTCGAGCTTGAGTATGAGGTTCAAGGGCTGAAAAGAGTGATAGAAGAGCAGCGTGTAGAAGGACTCCTGGCACAACGTGAAGGCATCGAACGAATCGACGCCGCCAGGCAGGAGATAGCAGAAGCCAAAGAACGAGATCAAGTTGTGCGAGAGAAAACAAAGGAAAGGCGACCAAAAGAGGTCATCACGTGGATGCGAGAGTTCTTAGCTGGAAGACCCGCTGGAGATATTGTACCACCACCACGTCGAGCCGAATCCATGCCCATAGATCCAAAGGGCTCTAAGAAGCCTGGTTCAAAAGCCTGGAAGCGGAGCCGGTCAAAGGGTCGTCAGAGCGGTAGACCGAACATCAAGCGCACATCCTCGGATGATCACCCAAAACAGTCCTCCACTTCTTCGCAATACCTCCAGGATCAACAGACCGACGAGCCTGGCTCCCTCGATGTATCAGAAAACGAGTATGAGAGCGATGTGGAGGACTCGGCGTCTCCAATGTATACGCCGTATCACACTCATTCGTATACACCTGTGGCCCCGTACGCACATAACAGTTGCTATCACGTCTTGCCTCACGATGTGTCCAGCGATCCTACTGGGATGGTGCGCGTCCCACCACCACAGCCTCAGCCTCTGATGCGAAGGATTCCACATTCTGCTGGGCCGCCATACGGCCAGCATGTTCTCAGAGCCCCTTCACATAACACTGGCTCAACCAGCGATTCCAATTACCGTTGATAGAGGAGACAGGTTGAATCTAACTCCGATTAACTTTTCTCATGTATCCATCAGTCTACGGCGAGTATACTTCCATTCCATGGCAAGCTTAGTCATGAGGAATGTATCGTATAGCCATCGCTAGGCTTGCAATGACGTAGGGTCCCCATAGCTGCATCCGCGTGAACTTTCAGACATTCAGATCTTCTTATCTCCAGATACTATCTAGTGTGGCACAGTCCACACGAGCTCAGCGCGTGGCTGCAGAGACCTTCAGTAAAACCAGCTGTGTCATGACACTTGGGCTGCATGCACTGCCCCGCGACGAGATGCGCCGAAGTCAAAACTTGGGGGCTTGACGGAGCTGAGAACTCTCCGGTGAACCGCAAGGGACGACTGCGCGATAACCGCAATATGGGTATTCTACAATGGAGGGGCAGGCACGACGTTGGTTCGTCGGCAGTTAGCCTATTAGCCGCCGTGGTGCGCTGTCAATACATCACTAAGCTGGGGGCTTGCATACGAAAGCAACGCCGTACATCGAGGCGCAAGACTGCTCCTAGCGTCATGTGAGGCTATGCATGAACCTGTAGTTCCCTTCCAGGATGCTCTCTTAGAAAGCAGTTGCCTTGTCGCCTTGTCGGCTATGCTGCAGCATCCACCCCATGAATGAGAAGCTTTGATCGCTCGGCTTGAATAGCTGGAACACGACAAATCTTTTGCCCTCCATCCGTAATTGCGAAGAATCAACGAGAAGTATGACGAACAGAGTGGATAGCCCTCATCGCGAGGTACCTCCTCTGCCAGAATTGACGTACGAGCCTATCAACCTGCTGACGACAATATACTGACTTTATTACGAAGGCCCGACGATGTAATCATTGCAGTGATGGGCATCACTGGCTGCGGGAAAACAACTTTCGTCAATCTCTTCTCTGATCGCAAACTCGAGGTCGGGCATGGACTGGACTCATGTGAGAGTCACTGCTCACTTCCTATCTATCAAGGACTAAGTAATCATAGGCACAGTCTCCGTCCAAGTCGTACCATGTACGTTTGAGGACGGCACGAAGGTCTATCTCGTCGATACCCCAGGTTTTGACGACACCTATCGGTCCGACTCCGAAATCCTGCGTGAAGTCGCGCTCTGGCTGAACAAGGCGCACACGGAAAAGTTGCAACTGGCTGGCATCATCTTCCTTCAACGGATCTCAGATGTCCGAGTAGGCAATAGCGGAGTTAAGAACATCAAAATGTTCCAAAAGCTGTGTGGTGACGGCCCGTTGTCAAGCGTGGTATTAGCGACGACAATGTGGGACATGGCCTCACCCAATGCTGCAATCGAACGCGAGAGAGAATTACAAGAACAACCACAATACTGGAAACGGATGATAGACTACGGGAGCTGCGTAATGCGTCACGACAAAGGAAAGTCGTCAGCGCTCGAAATCATCAAATACCTGATGAAGCGAAAGAAGCCCGTAACACTCGACATACAACACGAGATGGTGGACCAGAATCTCGAACTAGTCGACACAGGCGCTGGAGGCGCCCTAGCATCAAGTGTAGAGGGGCTCATCAAACACTACGAGAGGAAGCTAAAAGAGCTGGAACAAGAGCTCAGGGAAGCACACGCCCAAAGCAACAAAGAGGACCGCGAGATTTTGGAAGCAGATAAAAAGCAATACCAAGACAATCTCGCGAAGCAACAGCAGGAAATGCAGAATTTACAGGTTAGTGCGGCGCAGCTGATAGAGGATACTAAGAAGCGGTTTGAAGAGAGCGAGGTGTCGGCTAGGGAGAATATGCTACGAGCTCAGGCGGATCATGCCGCAGAGCTGGAGAAGCAGAGGGTGGTGTTGCAGAGACAGTTTAAGGAGAAGTATTTGCAGATGATGCATGAGCGGGCGTGTAATGTAATGTAGCGGAAGATAATGTGATAGCATCTATACGTGATGATTTAGTCTTGAGACGCGTGGGTCAATCACGTTCTCAATATTTGATGTCGGGACTGTGTTCGACGTGCTGGGTCATACAGCATCAATGACTCGAGGCGCGTCCATGAACGCGTCTTGCCTACCGTGTGGGAGTAAACTGGAACGCGTAGCTAAAGCGTGGTCAGCTCTCGCTGAAACAGACGCCTTCGCCTGGGGGCAAAAAAGACGTGGAAAGGGTCGTACCGCGCAGAATGATGCGATAGTCACTCAGGAAAGAAGAGATGGGATGAGATGGACGCAATGTTCGAGTCCGACACGCGTGTTGGATGCGCGTCATCAGATATGGCTAGCGCGACCAAAGTGGGTTCGCCAAGCGAAATCTGGCCCCAGCTTTCACCCCTGCCTGCTATCCTGCTATTCTCTACTATCTTTCGCGCTTAAGCCTAAGAGGTCTTTTTATATACTTTAGTTATATATATTAAAAAAAAAATATTTAGTAATAGTAGTTTACTAAGCTATTTATTTAAAGTAGTTATCTTTATATATACTTATAGTAGCTAAAAATAACTTTATAATAAATATATAATAAGTAGTTATAATAAGTTAGTATAATAAGTTTTATAATAGCTTATATAGAACTAAAGTTAAAGCTTAATTAGTAAGTTTATAAAATATATATTTACTACTTTTTTTTAAACTTTTTATTATAATAATAAATAACTAAATTATTATAATAATAAATGCTTAGCCTATTATTTATTAACTTTTTAACTTTTTTAATACTTTTATAGTATTATTTTTATATTTATATTTTAATTTTTTACTATAGTATAAAATTTTTTACTACTTACTTACTTTTTTTAAAGTAATACTTAAAGAACTAAAAATAATAGTAGTATAGCTACTTTATTAAAATATAAAAGTAGCTAAAATAATTTTATATATATTTAAGTAGCTTAATAATAGTATATAATTAGTTTATACTTTAAAGTAAAGTTTCTAATATTATAGTACTAAGTTATTTTTATTTTTATATATAAAAAGTAGCTATAATTAAAGTACTACTTTTTTAGCTTACTACTAAGTAGTAGCTAATAATTTTTAAAAAAAAAGTTTTTAAAAAAAGTATAGTAGTAAAAAGTAAGCTTAGTAAATATACTACTTACTAAGTTTAGTATATAACTAGTTTAAGATAGTTAAAGTAGTTAGTATACTAGTAAATAGGTATAGATCTAGTTAAGCTTAGATTATATTAGTAATAGCTCTAATCTAATCTTAATCTAATCTAAAAAAAATATAGTATAGATAAGTATAGTTAGAGCTATCTTAAAATAGGTTAAGTTAAGGTTAAGTTATTATATAACTATTAGAAATATTATAAAATAATTATAAAACTAGCTATTTATATAAATAGCCTATTTATAAAAGATATTATAGTTATTTATTATAGTATATATTAATAGTAGTAAAAAAAATACTATTTAGAGTCTATAGCTATAGTTTATATAATATATAAAAGCTAATATATAAAGCTAATATACTAGAATATAGCTTTTATAATCTAGTACTTTTTATACTAAGTTTTAGTAAGCTATATATTCTTTACTTAAATTATAATTTTTTTAGTATAAATAGTAAGCTAATTACTATTTATTATAATTAGTATAAAAGTAGTAATAAAAAAAGAATAGAAATATATACTATTAAAGAAGCTAACTAGAAAAGTCTTAGTAGTCTCTTATATAGCTTATAAAGCTATTTTCTAAAAGTATAGACTTTTTTTAATAGGCTAAGTAATTTTATAAATAAAGTAATAAAAGAAGTTTTTATATAAAAGTAGTTTAGTACTTTTTTAGTAGTACTTAATCTTATATATAATAATAGCTATATACTATTAGCTAAGAAATATAATAAAAATAATATAATAACTTACTACTAAGCTTATAGTAGTATAGCTTTCTAAGTTAGCTATTTTTATTAATTCTTGTTAGAGCTAGAGACAATTAACAATTAGAGATAATTAAGTATATTATAATTTTTTTACTACAAAAGAAAGTTAAAATAAAATCTCTAGCTATATACCTAAGAGCTAAGTAATTACGTGTCTGTAATTAAGTAATTATAACTACTCTCTAACTTTAATATACTCTCTAGAGTAGTAAGAGTATTAATCTACTCTACTAAAACTAATTCTATTAAATCTACTATAATTAGTATACTCTAGTAGAGTCTAGACTTAAGAATCTAGAGCGTAGTAGTAGGTTACAGCCTAACTAAGCGTTTAATTATACTTAATACTAATAGTAGTAAGCTTTTACTTATTTAAACAAGGCCTAATAGCCTAAAAATTAACTCTATTAGTTTAGAAATTACCTTATAATAGCTTAGAATCTAGCTAATAGCTATAGAAATCTAGATATCTAACTAGTAAGAGACAATTCTAATAGTAAGATCTAGGCTTCTAGTCTCTTCTAAGTAAAGTTTATAGCGTAATTAAGAGCTTAATAAGCTGCGCTAGCTTTCTACGTAGATACGCGCTTAGGCTAGAATTAGAGACTTTATAATAATAAGTTTTCTAATTCTTCTCTTTTCTACTATAATTATCTACTTCTATATTATTAAGATGCTTAAGCTAATAAGCTAATAAGCTACTTATCTAATTAACTCTTCTACTTAAGATTCTTAGCTCTTAAGCCTTAGCGCTCTTAAGTTTTATATTTAATTCTCTACTCTACTTAATATACTACTCTACTTACTTCTTTACTCTACTTACTTCTCTATTCTCTCTATTACTATAGTAAGTTCTTACTCTTATACCTAAATTAATAGCTAACTATTATAATTTAGTCTAATAATCTAACTTCTAACTCTAACTCTAGCTATAAGCGCTAGCGCTCTAGCTTCTACTATAATAGTGTTCTACGCTCTAATTATAATACCTCTAGTAGTAGTAATTATAATACGCGAGCTAGTACTTAGCGTAATATTACTTAGCGTAATAGCGCTCTACTTAATAGCGCTTTATAGTTAAGCGCTTAACCTCTCTACTACGCTTAACTTAAAGACGCTGCTACTTAAATTCTATCTTCTCTTTCTAGAATAATAGTAGCTAATAGCCTATTCTCTAGTAGCTTTACATAAAGTAATTAGGCTTCTAATACTTAACTATCTTAGAGCTTTATAAATTCTAATAATTAACTAGATTAGAGCTTTAAGGCAACTAGTAGTTTTAGTAATAATAACCTTTATAAAAGTTATAAGTAATTAGAGTTATACGCTAAGCGTGCCTACTTAGGTTATAAAGCCTCTTAGTTTAATAACTTTAATAACTAGAACGTCTAAGAAACTATTAAGCCTATTTCTAAGAGTAGCATCTTTATTACTAATAATACTTTCTAGACTTAGAATTTAAGCCTTTAGTAATCTAACTACGTTAAGAACTAAGGCGCTTAAGATTAAAAGAAGTAAGCGTTCTTAAGTAATAGTTATAGTTATAGTTACTCTTATAAGAAGTCTAAGAGTAAGGCTTCTATAACTAAGACTTTTTTAGATTATCTATATCTAATATACACTAGTTGTTAGCGTAAGTAAGTTAGTGTATTACCTAACTATAACGCTTCTTAAGTTTCTAAGTATAAGCGTTATATTTATTAGTAGCTTCTTAATAATATTTAGAAGGCTAATTATTTTAAGTAACTTTATTAGGTTACGTATTATTTATTCTACAACTCTTATAACTACTATACTACTAATTAAGATTTATATAATTACTTTATAAGCTTAGTAGATTACTATAGTTCTAAAGTAAGTTTATAATTCTCTTCTTTTTAGTTCTTTTAATCTTTTACTAACTTAATAATAGCGCTAGAGCTCTAAGAACACTATTAAGCATTATAAGTAGCTCTACTAAGATCTCTACACTTATAAGAAGTAGAAAGAAGAAGCTAAAAGTAGTTCTAAGACTCTAGCTAAATTATTAGGTAGAACTTCTAAGTTCTTAGGTAAGAAGAGCTTAAAGAGTACTCTATCTATAACTTCTTAAGACTCTAATTAACATAGTACTTATAGTAAGTCTATAATACTAAGTAAGAGAATAAGAGAGATTAATATAAGTAGTAGTTAGATACCTCTATCTATAATTTCTACTTAGAGTTATCTACTTATAGCCTTTAATCTAATACTATAATACTTAGGCTATTATTATTAGAGCTTATTCTAGTAGCTACTACTACTAACTTTCTAGCTATAGACTTCTTAATTTAGAAATTAGCTACTATAGAATTAGTAGTAGAATTAGTATAGTTATTATTAGTTTTAGTAGTATAACTACTAGTCTTAGTAGCGTAATTATTAGTCTTAGCTGCGTAATAATTATTCTTAGTATTATAATTCTTAGCTACGTAGTTATAGGTTTAATAGCTCTATATCTAGTATTATAAGTAATAGATTCTATTACTATACTTAGCGTTAGCTAGCTAAGGCTAAGTACGTAGAAGCGCTACTGCGTGCTAAGTATAATTAGATATAGCTTAAGATTTGCATAAGAACTTAAGCTACTAAGACTACTTATTTATAAGCTTAGGTTAAGAACTTTAAGAATAGCTAGAATAGTAAGCTAGCCTTTAATAAGAATAACTATAAAAGTTATAATTAGAGAAATTAGCGCTATAGTAGTTAGTAAGTTAGTAGCTATATAGATTAGTCTAGTAGAAAAGTTTAGTAATTTATTTACTTTATGCTTACGTTAATTATTAGTAATTACTTCTTTATAACTAAGCGCTAGTTAGAGTAACTAAGATCTAGCTTAGATATAATTAATCTTTGTAGTAGTAGCCTAAATAAAGATCTTTCTACTCTATCTACTTCTTAAGAATTAAATATTATAAATCTTATAAGTTAAGTAGCTATTTAAACTTCTTAAACTATTATTAGATAAGTAATTTAGTTAATCTATTTATAAGTATAATTATAGTCTCTAAATACTTAAC